TTTTGGTCTTTTTGAGTCAGGGTCTCCCTGTAGCCCCAGCTGCCCTGGAACTCACTTTGTAGACCAGGCTGGCCTTGAACTCACAGAGATCTGCCTGCCTCTGCCTCCCGAGTGCTGAGAGTCACTTTTAAAGAATATTTTATTATTTTTATATTATGTGTATTAGTGTTTTGTGTGAATGTACATAAGTGCACCTGTGTTGTGCAATGTTTGCCGAGGTTAGAAGAGGGCGTTGGATCCCCTGGAACTGGAGTTACGGATAGTTCTTAGCTTCTGTGTGGGTGCTGGGAATCGAACCCAGGTCCTCTGTAAGAGCAGTCAATACCCTTAACCACTGAGCCATCTCTTTGTTCCTAAGATTCACTTTTAAGAGACCTGGATGGCCAACTTTAGACCAGTCCTGTTAATCTTAAAAGGCTTGTTGTAGTCCATCTGGGCATTTCATGGTTGAACTGGGTAATGGTTCAGCTAAAGGAAAGGACTTTGGTTTTGTATGTGGGGTTGGACCTTTCTGACTGAAGATCCTTACCTCTGACTTTAGTGTCCTAATCTTTAGTGCTCCTTGACCTGAAGGCCAGGACCATCTCCCAAGATAGAGGTTGCCCACTCCGGCTTGTGTCCAGTCTATATGCGGGCGTGGAAAATCTTTATAGAAGTAGTACTTCCAGGGCTGGAGAGATGGCTCAGTGGTTAAGGTGCTTGCTGCTGTGCCATAGGACCTGAGTTTGTTTTCCAACATCCAGGTGGGGTGGCTGATAACTGCCAGTAACTCCAGTTCTAGGGGGCTCCAATGTCCTCTTCTAGCCTCCAAAAGCATCCACAGAGACAGACACGGCATGTGTGTGTGTGTGTATGTGTGTGCGTGTGTGTGTGTGTGCGCACACACAGACACACAGACACACAGACACACACACAAATAAATCTTTAAAAAATACAACTAGTGTAATTCATCTACCATTTGATACTATAGGAAGGAGCAGAGGGAGAAAGAAATCAGTATTATTTTTTTCATTGGGTAAAGGCATAGCTAGGAAAATTTTACAGCTTTCTAGAATCCTTGGGCCAGGAACTTTGTTTGGAAAATATAATACACTGAAAATGTTTAAGTTGGAAATACTTGTATTACTCTTATGCTATATACCCCCTTGAAAGTTCACTGAGGAGAGAAGTATTTGATGATATGTAAGAAATGGCTTGTCTTTTTCATTTTCTTTTTGCAGTAGTGTACCTTATGGTACTTAGCTTCTAGGTGATTTTCTAGTCTAATAATTTGCCAGGCTATAAATTCTTGGGGTTTTGAATTCTTTAAAAAATATTTTAGGTTCACCAACTAAAAAATTGGCCCCTTAGATCTTTTTAATTATCTGCGCAAACAAAACCATTCTTCTTACTTTTCTGTTAGCTCACCTGTTTATAATTAGCAACTGTTATTATGATAACATTATATACAGGATCACATTTATGCATAACAACCTTTCAAAGTTTTTATTGAATTTTTGTACATTTCGTATAACACATCTTGATCATATTTAGACCCCCTTCTTTTATCTGCACCCCTTATGCCTCCACCTGCTGGATTTCATGCGTTCTGTCATATATGTTAAGGCCTATGAAGTCAAGTTTGTGTCCCCAAATGTCCCTTGGTGTGAGTCCATCCTCTGTAACCTGGTCAGTCTACCTAGCATCACTCCCTTAAA